ACATTTTAATCTTATGCATAGTAATTATTGACACTGATTTACCCATCCTTGAAATGGCTCTACCCTCATAATAATATATTACATTACAACCTTTGTGTACGATTACACAAATAAAATAATTGAGAGCAGATAATTTTATGCTTTACCTAATTTTTTTTTTTTCTTCACAGAGATGTAATTTAGTATAAGTCCACAACGCCAGTTCTTTTGATCGGATGTTTTGGCAAAATGATTGCTTGCCGAATGTCTCTCAGAGTGTGATTAAACTGATTAGTCTAGGTTAAAAAAAGAGTGAGTGAGACATTTTAGATTATCAGTCGCTGTCAATAAGAAGATTTCAGGAATCTTTATGTTTAACTCAATTTGAATTACATAAATTTTTAAAACGAAAGGTAGACAAGTTGTGCATTCTATCATAGAATTTGCAGCCATAGTTGTAAGGCAAAGGGAAAATTAAAGTGTTATTTGTTGGTGATTTTAATTCAAAAGATTCATATATACATGTTTTATTTATGTGTGTGTGTATATGTTCCTTGGATTATGTAATACTTCCCTGTGCATGCTCTTGATTCACTCATCTTTTCTTGTGCCAATTACTGATAGTTAATTTTCAGGAATGCTTTGGATATATATTCAAATTAAAAGGTTTTTTTGTCAATATTCTGGAGACAGGGCCTCCCCTGGTGACACAGGCGGTTGAGCACAGTGCTGTGAAGCTATCTGTGGCTTCTGCAGCACCGGTTCGATTCCCGGCTAGTCAGGGAGAAATCCACATGGCAAGACAGACCTCTCCTGTCGTGCCTGCTGCTCCCCTCAGCAGTGTATTTCGTCAGTCTGCCTGTTCTGTTCCCCACTCTCTCTCTGGTAAATCCTCTCACCCTCCCGGGCATCTGGCCTGTACCCTGGTTCTTGTATGCATGACTATGTAAATCTAAAAAAAAAATCCTAATATTTATAAAAAACAATATTCTGGAGAGAGCTCAATATTATACAACACATGAAATACTTGTCTATGTATGTTTGTGTGATTTATGGCATATGAACTGCATGGACTACAGTCATTGAGTTACCTTTATACCATTTACAAAAAAAATCATATAAATTAAGATACAAAATTGAACTCATTAAGGTTATTGTGTTTAGATAACTCCCTTTGGGAATTTATATAATAGATGTGGCTATAGGAGTAAAGAAAGTGATCCTTAATACTAAACAAGTATATAAATTTATCTGACTGTCATATGACCCTTCAGGGAATAATACATTTAAAAAATTAGACACTGTAAACTTTCCCTAAAGGCAGAAATGCCCAGAGTTCCAGCTGTTAGACTTCAGAATTGTTTTCTCTTTGCAATATAAACATGATTAGCAGTTTCTATCATCTGCATACCATTTAGATTATAGTATCTTTCTTGGCATAGCGTACAATTTGAGAAAGAGTAAATATCGTATTGAGGAAAGAATAAAAATGTGTGTAATAATTTCTTCATTCTCCCAGATTGGTCTGGTAGAAAAAAGTGAATCTTGGATTAATTTTGCTTTGATTTCTTCTGCCCAGCATCACTGAAATTTTTTTCTATATCTAGTCTATGCAATCATAGCTATCTAGACAATTCATTTGCCTTTTATCTCTATAGCCTGTATTTAATATATCTATTCTGGTATTCATTCTCCTTAAGGTACAGAAAGAAGTTTGATTATCTACCTTTCTAATTCAGGAGCTGGAGGAACAGATGTCACACACTAATTATTACATACTTAGCTTCGTTTTTTAAACTAATCTTTATTTTCTTACATTGTTGTTTATTTTTGTACAATATTTGATTTCTCTCCTCAGGTGTAGTTCCTGCAAATCTCCCACCACCATGCCCCCCTGTGTACTGTCACCACAGTCCTTGGGCTTGTCCCTTTCCTGTTTTGACCCCTCTTCCTCTGCTTCCCCTGCTGTGCACCTCAGATATATCGTCTGCCTGCAAGTTCTTCTTTTTTTGACACTTTGGTTTCCCTATATTTCTCCTATACACACTCCTTTTTTTTTTTTAAAGATTTATTTATTTATTTATACAAGCACTGGGTACAGTCAGAAGCACGGGAGGGTGAGAGAAATCACCAGAGCCAGAGCGGGGAGCAGAACAGGCAGACTGATGAAGTACACTGCTGAGGGGAGCAGCGGGCGGCGGGAGAGGTCTGCGCGTCATGTGGGACCCTCGCTGGCAGCTGGGGATAGAACCGGTGTTGCAGAGGCTGCGGGCAGCTTCACAGCCCAGCGCTCAACAGCTGCGCCACCAGGGAGGCCCTATACACACTTCTTGAGGCGATTATAGACGTATATTTGGACGGCACACATGGCAGAAATCTTCCCAGTCCAACTCGTCTCCACTAAACCCCTTCCTGTGGGAAACCTCCCATCCCTCTTGCTCCCTCTTTCCTCCTGCTTTCACTCTAATTTCATTCCTCTCCTTCCTCCTTCCCTTCCATTTTTTCCCTGTCTATTTTTTTCTAGTTAGTCACTCAAATATACTATCTATGTCTCTTGTATGTTCCTACCCATTCATCTATTTATTTCTGTTACTTCAGAAATAATCCCACTCTGTCATGATTTCTTATTTGACCCTTGGTATCTGAAGTTCACTTTGTGCTCAGGATTTCTGCTGCTTCTACAGAAGTGTCCATTCGATTTTCTTCACTGTTCTGTGAACTGCTGCTGTCAAAATTACAGTCTAATTGCAAGGTGAACAGGTTATAATGTATCATAATCAATACTTAAAATTTGCTCCCTAGAATGTGACATAAAGGAGTCAAGTAAAAAGCTGCAGATTTTCAGCAGCAGAGTGCAAACAATCATTTTATGTTGATAGTTTCAAATTCAAGGTCGATTTATACTTTCATACATTCTGCATTATTCTATCTCTTTAACTGTCTTCTTAAATTCATATTGGATTCATTCAATGCTGAGGCTATTTAAATTGCTAAAATGGAAGGCCAATCAATATTGGGTTTTAAAACTGTGTTAGCATATTTCAATGAGAGTGTATAGATCATAAAATGAATATTTTAAAAATCACAGCTATAAAAGATACAAAAGTATTACCAAATAAAGTAGACACTTCTGTCTTTTTTGAAGAAAACTGACTGAATGAAATGATACATATTATTATTTCTAACATCTGCTGACACAGATGTAGAAGTAATATTTACGATCCCTTTCAAAATAGGTAAGGGAAGTAGACACCTGGTATTAAACTTTTTTGATATCTTTTTGCTTTCATTTAGTCTCTGCTCTACTTTAAAGTCATACAAGAAGGTTCCCTAGAATGTGGTATATGCTTAGTTTCTTCTGTTGCTGTCATGTCCATCTGTCAACACCTTTCAAGGCATAGGTAGTATTTGGGTTTGTAGGTGGGTAGTTAGTTTGAGACTGCCTTTCAGCATTCTTGCCTGATTAAATAATAATGTTAACATATTTCACTACTCATAGGTAAGTGTATTTTAAAAATATGATGAAATTAAAATAGAGTCAAGCTACCTAAATACTTTTTTAACATTTCAGAAGTGTGAATGACACATGGTATGAAATACCACAGTATTTTTGTTATCGAGATGTCATTTTGCTTGCTTTCAAAGTTATTTAATCTCATAGGAAATTCTTTTATTCTGAACCCTTTTGAGATAAAACAGGTTGTGGCTTATTGTTTTCTTTCTCAATAAATAATCATATTTATTTAAATATAAATTTTGAAATATAATTTAAATATAAATTCAGGTTTTATATATGTCTTTGAAAATTAATTATAAATTTAGAAAGTTATTGAATTTTTTTGTTTTCTGTTTTAAATACCATCATGTGGACTTTTCCCTTTGTATAAGACACTGTAAATTTGTGGGGATCCTCTTGCATCAATTTAAGGGCAATCCCAAGAGTTCCTAAATGTGCAGGGAATTATATTCCCTTCACATAGAGGAAATTGTAAATATCCTTTCCTGGAAAAAAAAATAGTCCCTGACTTTAAAAGGATCATTAAACTTAAGGGGAACCACCATTTGTAGATGAAAGGGACAACTGGGAAGATTAGTTCAAAGGTATAGGGTAAAAAATGGGTCGTGGGACATTGCAGCTACTGTCATCATGAAGGGATTTTCTTTCCTATTTTCTTGTTCAGCATCTTTGAAATAGAGAGCATTAAAGAATGTTTTATTTAGGTGCTCTTATATGTCAGTTGATAAAACATAGAAGAAAAATTCTCACAAAAACTGTTATCGTTTAAAATAGGAAATCATGATTTGTCATTTATTCTGAGCTGTATCTGTTGGCTAAATCCATTTTCACCTACTTACACCAAAAACAAAAGCTGAAGTGAAGAAAAACAGATTTATATGATCCATAAGCATATCTAATAAAATAGGAATGTGCACTTTTTGACAAGCTTATTCATAACACACTCTGATAGAAAATTCTATTTGCTACTCTCAGTGGGAAGAGACTTCTAAAGGAAACCTTTTCTTACATGACTGTTGCCAATATAACAATTACAAGTGAAACAGGGATAAAACATGAAGGGGAAAAGCACTTTAGGACTTGTTAGGGAAGTTTGCAATCCAGTGGTTTCTGCTATTTGATTTGGAAAAAAATAATCCTGGTAATCTATTTTGATGTTCACTGTTTCCAGGATGGGTTATACAGAACAAAGACTAACTGATATGCTCAGGAGATTAGTTTACAGTGATGTTGTATTCTACAGAGAATGATTCTCCAATGACCACTTTTTACTTCTTCTCAGGCTATGGGAATTCATTAATATCTAGAGAATAGACTTAAATAAAACCATTGTCTCAACCAGCAGCTTTATGCAACCATCCTGAAATGTTTTAATTATTGTTTTCTTTTCTTTTTTAATTAAGAGACCAGAGGTCAAGCAAGCCCACTGAGAGCTGATCGCAGCCTCTGGAAATTTAAAGCAACCCTAATGATTGGATTTGCTGTTTTCTCTTTTGTTTTGCAGAACCGGAAGAGTGTGTTAATTGCACAGATGAATGCCGAGTGCTTGGTCATTCTGACAGGTGTTGGATGCCACAGTTCCCTGCAGCCAATCAGGCTGAAAATGCAGATTACCGCACAAATCTCTTTGTACCCACAGTTGAAGCTAATGTTGAGACTGAGACTTACGAAACTGTGAATCCCACTGGGAAAAAGACTTTTTGTACATTTGGAAAAGACAAGCGAGAGCACACTATTCTCATTGCCAATGTTAAACCTTATTTAAAAGCCAAACGTGCCCTGAGCCCTCTCCTCCAAGAGGTGCCCTCAGCATCAAGCAGCCCAACCAAGGCATGCATCGAGCCTTGCACCTCAACAAAAGGCTCTCTGGATGGTTGTGAAGCAAAACCAGGAACCCTGGCTGAAGCAAGCAGCCAGTACTTGCCCACTGACAGTCAGTACCTGTCACCCAGTAAGCAACCAAGAGACCCTCCATTCATGGCTTCAGATCAGATGGCAAGGGTCTTCGCGGATGTGCATTCAAGAGCCAGCCGGGATTCCAGTGAGATGGGAGCTGTTCTTGAGCAGCTTGACCACCCCAGCAGAGATCTGGGCAGAGAGTCTGTGGATGCAGAGGAAGTCGTGAGAGAAATTGACAAGCTTTTGCAGGACTGCCGGGGAAATGACCCTGTGGCTGTGAGAAAGTGAGGGGAAAAAAAAAAAAAAAGCATTGGCATTTTCTTGTCTCTTCTGTTGATTTAAAAAACTATCCCTTATGGTGACGACCCATTTTACAGGGATGAAGAAAGACCAATGCTACTTTAAGGCTTTTAGTGAACATCTGAAGTGCCCACAAGTATGTTCTTTTCACTGCTGTTTCTTTTACAGAGATAACAATGGTTTTGTTTTGATCAAACTTATATTAGGACAGAATTAATGATGCTCAAAGAGAAAAAGAAAAAAGAGAGAAGACAAAGGAGGATGAGAAGGCGAGTTACCTTTTGACAATCTGTTAGGAAGGTATGCAGCGTGAGAACTGAAGTATTTCTGATCACTTTAAGACTGTCCTCCGTGATTTATGCTGACTTAACTGTTTACCTATAAACCCCATTAAAGCAGGGTCATAATTTGTGATCTGTGGTGGATTTCTAGCAGTCATCACAGGCTTCTACTGAAAGTCCCCAAAAGACCTTGCAGTAGTCCAAGCTACACCAAACATTAACACATATTCGTGGTAAACATTTCTGTATAAAGTTACCTGCCACACATATAAACACAAAGAACATTCCATATCATTAGTCGAAAAAAATTTAAATACTTGGTCATCTGTAAGACACCTCATGTCGTATAAAAGTTAAATGTAAAAAGATATAGTCCATTTTGTCCTGCACACACATAGACTAATTCACTTCACTAAAAGAGAAGAAAATGTAAAGGTTTAAAATGCCTTTTTAGCATTTTAGTGTCCTGGAAACATACAAATAATGATGGATAGATTTTAAATTTGACCTAGAAAAGTTCTGAAAAATAGTTACCACTGAGTGATACTATTCAGAGAAAATTAACGATTAATATGTTTAATTCATTGTGGACACTAAAATAGCTCAGGAAAGTGAAATTGTCTTTGACATACACAAATCACATGACCATTTAAATGTGCAAATGTAAGAAGATTCAATGTGTTTACATCAAATGACATATTTTTATTGATTTATTGCAGATTCAGTGCATATGAGCCAAATTGTTGAGTGTATAAGAGCTATATTGTGTATTTTATTAAATTAATATATAGTTGTGTTGCAAAAATATTTGGGCTTATATTGTAAATGGCAAGTGTTGCCTCAGTAGCTGTCGAACTCTATGAGTTTTGTTTTTTTCTGCTTCCTTTTCCCCATGGAGTGTGGGAAGCAGTGCCTCAGAGCAAAGTCTCTTGTTTAATGTATAGTCTACCAAGTACTACAGTACATAATCTGTTCAAAATGTGTTTGAGTGAGCTGATGGAGCTAACTGAAAGGTCAAAAAATACATCCATCAGTCATGGTTATGTGCAAGTCCTTGTAGAAGCTTTGATTAAAGTCATGCTAAATCACAAAAGTTACATTTGTACCAATACCTGAAACTTCTTCATGTTTTTTTTTTTTCAATAGCATACAGCCTCTTCCTATGTAGATATCATGCTGTTGATTGGTTCTCAAAAATATTTTAAGTGGTTCAAGATGTGTGTTCCCATTATATTTCAAAACCATGAAAAATGCTTTAATGCATGTGTGGTACCAGCACTGGTTACTTGCATTGTGTAGTGTTTTTCAAGAGGTCTGAGTCTTAACAAAATGTTTTTCCTTTTTCTCAGTGCTCTTCGGCCTCTTTTTGTTGGTGTCCTTTGAGAACAATACACCTTCTATTCCTTCATTTAGTTGCACCTTTTCTTGTGATATTTAGCAAGCTTCCATATGAGGCTAGGAAACCTCACATTTCAGGAATTGGAAAAAAAATAAAATTAGCACTTGCAGAAGTAGCAGCAGATGGGAAAATGCCTTGATTGACATTTTCCTTCAGCGTTTAAAATTTTTGGCATTTTACAGCTTCATGACAAACAGTTTCCAGCCCATACCTTAGAAAATGTGGTGCTGAGTTAAATAAAGGCTGTTTGTGCACTGGAGCAGAAAAATGCATTATTTGCAAACTGGTGGAGAATTCTGTGCCTTCTTTTCTGGCCACCAAGCCAGTGTAGAAACAGCATAAATGTCATAAAATCCTTACACTTAAAACAAAAACAAAGCAAAAACAAATATTGAACTGAATTAAGTTTTGTAATTTTAAACCTCAAAAAATTCTACTGAAAGTATTTCCGTCAAATACTGTCAACATTTTAGAGTGTACCTCGTTGGCAAAACCGCTTGAAAGGGAAGAGTGGACAATTCCCATCAGCCTTATTCTCTCAAGAACTGTTTTTGGTTCCTAGTAACAGCCTTTCCAAAGCTCTACTCTTGGTTTTTATTATTCGTAATGTTTAAATAAGAAAAGAAGGGATCTTGTACATGTGAAACCTAATCGACTCTATATTTTGGACAATTTATGTATCTGAAATGTGTTGTCTCTGTTATATGATGTTATTATTATTTTTCTTTTTTGCCAGGAGACTACAGGTTGATCGAGCTTGATAGCTGAAATTTGATGGAAACCTGATTTTCATTTAGTCTTACCAAGTGTTGCCTCTCTCTTACTAGACAGATAGCCACTTAGTAAAATCCATGGTAGTATGTAAATGAAATCAACAAAGAGAGTAGGGCTTATTTTTAAAACATACTTAACATTGAGTAACCAGTTGTTCAATTTATTATATGTGTCTGAAGACATTAAAACACGATAAGATTTTAAGAATCGGTTGTGCCAATGTGTGAGGGATTTACCTTTAGGCTCTCTGTCACCAGTGATTTACTAGTGTTAGCTGTTTAACACATTATCTGTAGTCAGTAGTGATTATTTATTTACAAGTTGGTGGTAATTCAACAGTCAAGACTCTAAGCTTTTATAGTTAAGCTGAGGGAATTTTGCTTTTATTCATTTGGCTGGTAACTGCCTTTATCACAGACCTCTGGTGCTTGGCTTCCAAGGAAGTCTCTGAGATGCCAAAATCATCCTTTTGGGGAGCAACTTGCTCGAAAGGGTGATGTATGATCAAACAGTTATATTTTAAGGGGTTTCAGCATAACTCAGAATGTGAAAAAGTGTCTTAATTCATATCCTCCCAATGTTAATCCCTCAGAAAAATCCCACACGTTTAAAAATGAATAATTTGATATTTTGTCTTTTAGGTCCTTAAGTAACTGAAGTCAAGCACAGAAAAATAATTTATAGAAATTTTAATAAGAAAGTCAAAGTTCTAAGAATCATTTACTGATGAACTAAAAACAATCAGTAACAAAACAAGCTTTTTTATTAAATGTTGATGATGAAAGATCTTTGCATTAAAGTTTAAAGTAGTGGGAATCAGTGTTAGTCGTACCTATACCAAAGTAAACATTAAATGGACATATCATGCGATTTCAGAGAACGCTCTCATATTTCTTAACCCGACATACTTATCCTTATTGCAAACAATATACAAAGATTGGCACACTACTCCGTAAATCAATTAAATTCCTGGTTAGGAAATTGACTTCCTTTGCTTCCTAAATTATTGGAAACCTTGTAAAACATGACTTCCCTTTAAAGGATCTAGGCACTGCTCAATTTAAAAAAATGACGCCATAAAAACAAAGTCATGCGGTAATATGGAAGTATGCTTTATTAGAACCAGGTTAAAAGCTGTTTGTTGCCTAATGGAGTAGAAGTTGCTGAGGTCAACAAGTAGACTGAGGTCTAGCATAATATATGCCCATTCATTATTGTCTAATTGTATTCTTTTGACAACAGACAGCATTTATCAGAGCATTAATTCAAATGAGAGTTTTGGCTATCAAGATGTGTTGATTTGAAACATAATTGAATGAGACCTGATTAAAGTCTGACTTTCCTGGCCCCAGTGTTTTGCAGGTTGGCTATTCCCATTTATCAGCCCCATCACTCCATATAGTTCTTAGCTGCACCAAATGATTGGTGAACAAGGACAACAACAACAAAAGCAGCATACATTGTATGGATTTATCTCAACGCTATTGTTTAATGGCTGTGTTTAATGTGACCTATCTGGAAAATGAGGACTCCGAATAAAAAGCTATTACTAATAGTGGTATCGCCTTCCCTTGAATTCATTAATACATGAGTGAAGGGTTATATGCTGCATACATCAGGACCCTGAACATATCTATTTTGGAAAGCAATCACAATTGCTTTTCTAGTTATTTGTTTGCCAATAAAACAGGATTAAAATTATTTAATAATAATTTCACTAAGTTTTCAGTGGGGATGAGCTAACAATCTTTCACATAGCTTAGATAAGATGGATAGTCGAATAATTACCATGGAGTCATACATAACAATATTTGCATCTTTTAATAGTCATGATTGGTTTGAAGAATTAGTCAGACAAGTCGGACATTAGTCGGACAAGATCCTAAGGGATTTTAGGAAAGTTGTTTTTATAAGCCCTCTCATACTCTTACATGACTGATGAAACTTGTATTTATAAATGGCATTTTAAAGCAAATGCATGTTTATCGTGGCATCTCAAAGTAATAGGCTTCTCTTTCTACTCTTTCAACAAACATCAGTGGAATCCCCACTGTGTGTTTGCTCTGGGCTATTTATGCCCAGGAGTAAACAGTAAAGAAGAATGGTGACTGAGTCAGTCTGGTGGGGGAAACAAATAGGTAAATTCTAGTACACATTATCCTTTATAAATTGGTTAGCTGGGATTGCATTTTTCCTGTTACTCTATACAGCCCATATTTCTTTCTCACTCTCAATGAGTGGCATCTCCTAAATTGCAGACTAACCAGATTAACATTTTTTTTATTTAGATATTTATTTTAATTTGAATTTTTTCTGACAGCATAACATATACTAAGAAGAATGATTAACTTTTCCAAATTTAAGATCTTTATGATTTAGATTTGTAAGGCAAACTAAATGGCATGTCTATCTATGCTTTTTTTTATTTTGTTCATTCATTTGCTGAGTTTTTGTTTATTTTTCATTGAATACAGCTTAGGTGTCAGATGCAATAAAAGATCCTGAGGTACAGGAACTACACCCATTGCAGCCTGCCATCTGAGTGCTTAATTGTTGTGCCCAGGTGATATACATGAATATAGGACTTTATGGCTTTATGTTGCCTTGATACTATTATCTTTACACAATGAAAACAATCTCACTTTTAAGAAGAGTAAAAATCATATGCCTACCATATCACTCACTTCTTTCAAGTGTTAGGATAGTGTTAATGGAGTCACCTGGAATATGACCAGCATGGAGGGAACACTGAGTGATTCAAATGAGGAACACTTCCTCGCCA